AAGCGCAGTACAGCCCCCAACTCAGATTTGAAAAAGAAATCAGTGAATGTTTTTTTTTTTTTTTTTTTTTTGACTGGTCGGCAGACCGTCGACCGGTCGGCCCAACTGGTCGGCTGGAATACGGTCGGCGGTCGGGATCGGCGGTCAGCAGGGATGCAACCCTGGTGGGCAGTACAAAAAAAAATCGAGCGGGTTGGGTCACGGGTAAGGGGGAAAAGAAAAAAAGCCCACCTCTGGTTACATATCACAATATAAACCACATTGCATAAGCGCAGTCACAACTGCACTCTAGACCTTCTTCCTCATATTGCTCAGTCTGAATGAGAGCAGTCCCTCTCCAAAACTAAATACCCGAGGGCAAGTTATTCTGCCTTTACTTCGAGAGCGATGTTGGAGCCAGGGTATTTGCCCTGTGTTTGCGCAGGTTGCACAGAATGAGGCCAGTCCATACTAAGAGCCCATGGTAAGGTAGGCCAGCGGTATAGCGGAAAGGCATTGGCGCGCCAAGTTTCCACGTGACGGATGCCCCCACTACTGTGGCCGAGGCGAGTGGGTGAGCGGATTTGGTGTACGGACACGCACCATTGCGGCGCGCGATAAAGTTAGAAGGAATTGGCGCTTAAATTTACTAAACGCCTCTTGCCCGCGAGGGCCAAGGGGTTTATGGTGCCATTAGGGAATGCACTACACACAATTGTGTGTGCTGTGACCACGGGTTAGTACATCGTTGCGGCGAGTGCTGGGACGTGGGGTGAGATTGTTATGTGCCCGGGCCTTATGACTGAGGCGACTGTGAGATAAGAGAGCGAAGGAATTGACAAAAGCCGCCCCACCATTTGGTCCACGTAGTGAAGTAGTGGTGCCGCCCGGTCGTGTGATTGGATGTCAAGGCGGTCGGGCTAATGTAAGGACTATAAGCATTTTGCCAGTAGTTGCGCCTTCCACCTGCTTCCCCCGGCCCTACCAAAAAGTAACAACAGTGTCTAAGATTAACACTTTCCCACACGTTATGCCTTTTTTTGTCCCTCTTCACTTGTTCTTTTGATTCCTACTGTTCTTCCTTGAACCGGGGCCCTCGAGTGTGCAGTTCTTCGGAAACAGGCATCAGTAGGCCTGTGCTCAGAATGTACTAGCATGCAGTGCTTTTGTCAGGAATGTGTTCCCCTTCTTTATTGACCAGAACCCGCACACAGCGCAGCTACTTTAAAAAGGATTTAAGCTTGTTTAAAGCAAGCCTCCGATCAATTGGTATGCTCGCAACCTGCTGAAGTGTGAGCCTGAGCTCGAGGTCCATGCATGCAAAACTGCTGAAAAACAGACCTGAGTTTGAGTTCTAGTGGGATCGGGCAAACGACGGGGGCTCCACAACCAACAGGCCTAACCAACAGGGCTAACACAGTTGGTACACCCGCAAACTGTTGAAATGGATTGGTGGGATGAACAGCTAAGACTGACCGGCTGCATGCGCTCAAGCAAGCTATCCCTGAGGACTGGCTAGTGGCTCTGCAATAGCACAGACGCTACTGAGGGGAGTGTGCGGCTCTCTCTGGCGAAGCACCCCACAGCACTGTTTTTTTGCCACTGCATGGGCACTAGGGGAGCTGGGTACGGCTTTTGCCCCCCCCTTATGGAGATGTCCAGAGCGTGACGGCTTCACACAAGAAGGCATGTTCTGCAAGAGCACAGACACTACCGAGAGGAGTGTGTGGCCCTCTCTGGCGAAGCACCCCTGGATGTGGTCTTCCGTCTAGAGTACAGGGCTGGACAGCACTGTTTTCTTGCCACTGAATGGGCACTAGGGGAGCTGGGTACGGCTGTTGGCGCCCCCCTGTGGAGATGTCCAGAGCGTGACGGCTTCATGCAAGAAGGCATGTTCTGTGCAGTATGCATCCTCAGGGACCATACCTCGCCGGCAGAGACACGGTATCGCCTCCTGAGGCTGCACATCTGCCCCCTGCACCTGGCGCTTGACCCCTCTATGTGGACGTGGCAGGCCAGGAGCTCCCAGCGGAAGGAAAGGAGGCTTTGTCAAGTCTCCACAAAGGTTATCTATTGGAGCCTGAACCCTCGGATCCTAATGACTGATGAACTGCGGGGCAGGCGGGTGGCTAAGGGATGAATAGATGAAGCAGGGGGGCGGGCTTGGACGCCGCAGAGATGGCAGACTACATGCTCCGTCGTCCAGTCACTCCCCAGAAGCAGGCGGGCATTCTCTGGCTCAATCTCCACCTGGTGCTGCCGAGTCTCAAATGGTTGGCCAAGCGCAGTGTGCATAACGAACGGACCTGCACTTCCTGCTCGATGGCGCCTGAGACAACTCCTCACTTGTGGCTTGCCTGCCTCACTGCCAACCTACCGGAGTCGTACTGCAATTGCACTGCAGTTTAGTCCACCACTTGACTCACCACTTGCCCACTTGCCCACTTGCTGACCTTCTAGAAGGACTACAGCTAAGACTTCTGTAACTCGCTAAGACTTCTATTCTACAGATCTACAGATCGAACCCCTGCTACCTACGGACCGATGACAGCCTACCAATTGCTTACTAGTACACAGGTCACGGGTTCAACTCTCGGGGCCTATGCAGCTGCAATTCTGAGATCGGCAGCACCTGCCCCGTTGCGAGAAGAGGAGGGATTGGAAACCTCAGTACTCATAGGGCCCACGCTAGTGGGGAAGGCAGCATCAGCAGTGGAAGCCTATGCTGCAGACACAGTCCGGGCCTCCTTCCTGGCTGCAGTCTCGTTCGGGTGGTGCAGCTGAGAACCGTAAGGGCTCCTTTGTGGCGCTGCTACTCTCCGAAATCTCCGTATGGCGATTGCTGCTGACGTGAGATGCAGAATGACTGAAGGATGGGCTTTCTGTGTAAAGCCTGGAAGGACTATGACGACATCATGCAATTCACGGAGGAACCGGGGAACTGGCAATGGATGCTACACCCGGAGGATGAAAGTGACCCCCCAGACGACCATGGGCTAGTACAGGACGACCCCGGGCACGAGGACGAGGACAATGGCGTCAACCTGGCAGGCACTGCAACTCCGCCCCGGTCTGATTCAACCAGTGAGGAAGCAGCATACACATCTGCTTTGACTCAGTTCCACCTGAGCCGGCCAGGGTCTGAGCCACACTGGGACTGTGATCTCCCGCCCCCCCCTGGCACGGCCCCATGAGCAGGGATCCTCTGAGAAGCGGGTCTGCATGCAGGATATGTCCGGATGATGAATCTCTGCAATGGGTGGCAGTGGAGTGAAGGGCTGACGGTAAACATGAGTGGGACTGGTCTGGACCTGGCACGAAGATATGTATGAGAAGGGATGTGGCTGGGTAGGCTTCTATGTTGGTATGTATAACAGTATAAGTGACCTTTTCGCTGCCACACCTTCCTCCCTGCTCCTCCCTCCTCTCTACCCTAGCCCAGAGTCACGCAGCGGCGACAAGTCTGCAGCCATGATGACCGGTTCAGGTGTATGCGCGAAGGTGGTGGTGGTGGATGCGCGACAGCACATGCTAGGGCGCCTTTCATCGATCCTCACCAAGGAGCTTCTCAATGGACAGAAAGTGGTGGTCGTACGATGCGAGGAGATCACACTTTCTGGTGGTCTGGTTCAGCAGAAGATGAAATTCCTTCGCTTCTTGAGAAAGCGTATGAACATGAAACCGATCAAGGGTCCTATTCACTTCAGGTCCCCTTCTCGTATTCTCTGGAGAACGATCCGTGGTATGGTCCCTCGTAAGACGAAGAGGGGAGCAGAAGCGCTGGACAGACTGAAGGTGTATGAGGGTGTTCCTTCCCCCTATGACAGGATGAAGAAGATGGTTATTCCTGATGCTCTGAAGGTGCTTCATCTCGCGCCTGGCCACAAGTTTTCAGGCTTGGACAGCTCTCGGGCGAGGTTGGCTGGCATCACTGCGAGACCATCGATACTCTGGAGGCCAAGCGTAAGGATAAAACTGGCAAGTACTACCAGTTGAAAAAGGAGCTGATCAGGAGAAGAATCAAGGCTATTGCTGTGGTTGAGCAGAAGTTCCCTGAGATTAAGAAGGTTCTTGAGCCAATCAGTTACAAGCCGTCTGTGGTGTAGACGTGGGAATATCTCTCAATCGAAAGGAATAGTAGAACATCAATTTGGCGGGGAAAGCAGAGCATGGAAGGGGTGAGAGGTTGAAGGCATGATTTGAACTGGAGACTTCATTCGTATGCTGTATCGATGAATTTTGACGGGGTGGCTATTGATGACGACTCCTTGAGCTGGGCAAGCAGCGGTTTGATTCAGTCGCAGGAAGTGGTGCTTACGCTTGTAGAGACCTTGTAGGAGTGAGAGCACCACCCTTGTACGAAGCCGTCTCCCCTGCTCCTACTGTACAAAGGCGCACGTGGCCGTATTTCGTGTGTAGGGCATGGGACTCGTCACAATCCCGCAAGGGAAGAGAAAACATAGCATGTTCCAAAAGCGCTGTTGAGGTTTTTGCGTTGCCATCTTGATAAGTAAAATAAGATGGATGACTCCAATCAGGAAGTCGCCCGATATCATACAGTTACGACTCTGGCGAGTCTCTTCGAGTGTCTCCAACCACTCTGGCCAGACCTTTCTGCTCRAGCGAGCCTCTACRAAGAAATGTGGCTCGAAAGAGCGAGCTGGGAKTCTGGATTTCGGAACCTGGYTACCAGCCATTGCGTGGTTTCTTTAGGTCTTTGCCTGCTATAGCAAAGACCTTAGCCCGTGAGCGAAGCTTGAATTTGGCAGCATATACCATAGCCAAAGAATGGCGAAGTGCAAGGATCTGGGTCCTCGGCAGGCCTAAGGGCCCCCTGTTGCATCTGTGCCCGCCCTAAGTGAAGGCGGGCCTAACAAATCATGAAAGGCCCTCTGCTGTAAATTCCGTATTTGGGGTCCAGGCAATTTCGTCGTGCCAGTTGGTTGAGGAAAACACAGGCCGAGCAGCGAGACTTTCGACGGCCTTCCAGGCCCTTTCCAAAAGGAAGCAGGCCCTGGACGAGAATGGCAGCCTCATACACAGACAGTTGGGAGGCTCAACCGAATGAGGCCCAGTAGCTGCAAGAGAGGCGCAGCATCCTGGGGCCTACCTGAAGCTTCTGGGCCCAGGCCAGTCCAGCCAGGCTGCCGAATGAGGCAGGCTCTTTCGATATAGGAAGGAGCTCGTTGCCTGGCCAGTGATTCAGGCACTCGCATGCTAGTGGCAGCGTTGCTGGAGCGGACGCTCGTGGGCTGCTGCTGGCGCTGAGAGGCGAGGTGCAAGTGCGTGCGGTCGTGCAGGGAACAGGGCGCTGCTGAGGGCAGCGCCATAGCCCAGCCTCCATAGCTGGCTGAGGGCTTGGATGTACAGTGAGGCACAGGGGTGGTCTTCGGGTGTACAAAGGGAAGACGTGGGAAGACGAGGGAGAGAGAGAAAATGATGATGATGATGATGATGTGAGGGCACATACCTGGTATTGGCGATGGTCTGCATGGGCGACATCTTCAAGTACTTCGAAGGCTGCTGACGTCAACAATTGCATTGTCAATTAGTAGGATAGTAGTAGCTGTGTAGGGAGTAGGGTGGGCGCCGAGTGCCAAGTAGGGAGATAGGGACTGGATACATATGTTGGTGGTGGCGAGAGCAAGCTCTCATTGACATTGGTTTTCAGTGCTACGATTCTCCATTGGTGTTATGTTGGTGCAACGCTGCTTTCTGAACACTGTGATACGGTCTGGCTTTCAATGTGATTGTGCAATCTGATTATTGTCATCTTGCTATTGCTCATTTTCCTTGCAATTTGGTATCGGAGCTGGTTCGAACTGCGCTCATTGGTTCTTCGCA